TGGAATAAAAAATTAATTTTTAAATATTAATTAATTATTTTAATATTTTAGTAATTAATTATCTTAATTGGTTATGTATATTATTAGTCATTAGTATTTAATTACTTTATTTTAAATGCTTATTTAAATAAAAACATTATACCATAATGTACAAGTGACATAACATTATTGGAGAGTTGAAAAATAGTTTTTTCGATTAATCACTCATGAAATTTCATATGTACATTATGAACATCCTTATGAATTAGTACATGTAGAATTATCCAATATTTAATTTGATTTCTCGTTTAAATGTTTCTTTATTAATTACCTTAATTGGTTATGTGTATTTAATTACGTTATTCAGTTATTTATTTAAAAACTTATTCAAATAAAAAATTAATATTTAATTTAATTTCTTCTTTAAATATTTCATTAATTAATTATCTTAATTGATAATGTATATTGTTTATTTAATATTTTATTACTTTATTTAATCACTTATTCGAATAGGTAATTAATATTTAATTTAATTTATTCTTTAAATATCTCATTAATTTATTATCTTAATTGGTTATGTATATTATTTATTTAATATTTAATTAGAGCATAAATTACACGGTGTATGAGAATATCTAACAGAGATGGAAGTCGAACATTAGGTACAGTTACATTTTCAAGACATCGAACATTATTCAAGAATGCCGAAACTATATTTTCTATATCAAATGAAATCGAGTGGGAAGTTTCCGATTATAATATGTTACTCTCTACCCAACGAATGTGTAATATCTATTTAAATCGTATGTACTCTCTATTTATAGTATGTTATTGATTTCCTCAATTTTCTTTATCTATAGTATGTTATTGATTACATGAAAATTGACCCGACAAATATGTAATATTTACTTAAGTCGTATGTACTCTCTATTTATAATATGTTACTGATTTCCTCAATTTTCTTTATTTATAGTGTGTTATATATGTAATTAAGAGTAATTAGTTATTTATTATACAATTATATAAAATCTAAAGTATTATAAACGTTTTAAAAAAATGCTTACATTTTAAATTATTATAACTACGAATCACAATGTACATAAAAGAAAGCTTACATTTCAATGAAAAAATAAATAAAATCTTTATTTTTCTAATTTTTTTCAATTTTGGATAACGTAGTTAATCGGATATGAATTTAACATTCAAATATCCGTCAGATTATATAATTGGATCGAATAGGATAATTATTCTTAATGGATCAGATTTGAGCAGATCCGGTCCATATATCTGATCCATTTAAGCCCTAACTTTAATGCGAAGTTCCACAATCGCCTCGGGTCGAATTCACGGAAAATGTTGGGCAACGTACCGTCGACGGATGTTCTCCTCTTAGCCTCAATTGTGTACGAAGAAACAATGTGTTTTAACAGCAATCTAGTCATTTTGCTAACCATTTACTCTAGCACATCAATAACATATTTCTTACAGTATGTCACTTTCATTGCCTTCCCCGGCATAATTGTCACATCATCCAAACTCGCGACACTATCTGTTAAGTTGGGGGTCCTTTCCAGCATAGTTATGTATATTATTTATTTAATATTTAATTACTTTGTTTAATTATTAATTTAATCACTTAATTAAATAAAAATTTAATATCTAATATCATTTCTTATTTAGATATTTCATTTATAAATTATTTTAATTGGTTGTGTATATTATGTATGTAACATTTCATTACTTTATTTAAATAAATTTTACAATATATACAATTATTTCATAAATAAAAATATATATACAATTATTACAATTATTTCGTCCTCTCCATCGACACCTCTACCATCCCCATTGACATACATAACGATTCTAATGAAACATTTGTGTACATCTCCACCCCTTCACTGCTACCCTCTCTGTCACCATCTCCACCACTCTCTTTGTCATTGTCTGGGACTCCCATCGCCTGCCGACTGTATCTCTTTAAATATGACTCTGACCCTCCTCCTCGATCCACGATATCAGCTCAGTGAGCACTTCAAGTTGACATATTAACATTTCACCGAGTTAATGACCATGCATCAAGATTTCAAAATGACGTACAATATAAAATCACAGATGAATATACATACCTCAGGATCGTCAAGGAGAGCTGATAACTGTCAGCTCTGTCCCCATATTTAATTACTTATTTTTATTATTTATATTTATGGTTCATTTAAATTATTTACTTAATACTTAAATGTTAATTATTTATTTCAATTGTTTATCTCAATTCTTTAATTACTTATTTAAATTACTTATTTTTAATTATTTATATTTATTGTTCATTTAAATTATTTATTTAATATTTAAATGCTAATTATTTATTTCCAATTGTTTATATAATATTTAATTACTTATTTAAACTATTTTTTATTATTTATATTTATTTGTTATTTATGTTAAGTAATTATTTTTACCGCTTAATTAATATTTAATTTACTTCTTTATTGAATTTATTTCAATTAGTTATTTATTATTTACTTAAATAAACAATATACATAAATAATTAACATAATTCATGAAACATTTAAATAAACAAATAAAGTATAAAATAAATAATTATATATTAAACAAATAATATACATAAACAGTTAAAGTAACTACTTAAAAATTTAAATAAACAACTATATTAAATATTGATTTATTAAATTATTTATTTAATATTTAATTTAATTTTTTATTTAAATGTTTCATTAATTATTTTAATTGGTTATGTATATTGTTTGTTTAATATTTAGTTACTTATTTTAATTGTTTATTTCATATTTATTTACTTCATTTAATTATTTATATTAATTTCTTATTTATTTTAATTGTTTATTGAATATTCAATTGTTTATTATATTTATTTCATTATTTAAATTATTTAAATTTTAAATAAAATGAAATAAAAAATAATTAATTATTTTACTTAAATAAACAATTTACATAATTCATGAAATATTTAAAAATAATTAAATTCAATATTTAAAAAAAATGGCTGGCACGGGCCAATCCAGACGGCCCAGATCATCGGGATGCCCAGACCATCGGGATCGTCTAGATCCCGATGATCTGGGCCATATGGATCCGAACGGCTTAGACAGTCAGGATCTAGAAGACTGGGCTATCTGGATCCGGGAGGCTTAGCGATTTGGGTCTCTCGATTCAGACTGCCCAAAAGTGACGTTGTTACCGTCTGAATCGTTTGAAAACTCCATTTCCGACGAGCTTCATCCCATTTTTTCACATTTTTTAACCAATTCAACCTCAAATTCGATTTTTCCTTCTATTTTAACGATAAAAATTTGTATTAAACTCATAATTTAACATATTCGAATTTTAAACATTCAAATTTTAATGTATTAAACTCAAACACTCAAATTCCGACATATGTTAGACCTCAATGGTGAGTAAATTACAAAGAGACAAATCTAATCTTTGAGAAATGACAATTTTCGGCAAATGGTCGAAATGGGTCGGATCTGAGCGGTCCGTAGGTGGCGTCAGTGATTCTCTTCTCTTGGTTTTTTTCTTTCTTTCTCCTCTTCTCTTTATTTGGGGGTATTTTCGACCCTTTGGATATTATTTACATTTTCATTTTTTTAATGAGATTTTTTGGGTCAAAGGCCATTTTGGTAAAATGACAAAGTCAACCAGCTATCTGCCACTATTTCCTCCTATGAGTTATTAAAATATCTTGTATTATTATGTCATTTATTATATAAATTATCTTTTCTCCCATATTTTTGAAATATTTGAACAAAAGTATTCTCATATTTTTGAAATGATTCAAAACCTTAATTTATGTGAGGAAAGAATTTAATTAACTATATAGAAGAAATAAGAAATTTTAATAATTTATCTCATCGTTGATATTTTCATCCAAGTATTTCTTTCTATGAATATATTTTTTCATGAAAAGTAGGCTCAATTTTCATTGAGCAACAATTCTTTCATAGTAATCTTGTCAAATTGAAATCTACTTTCTCTATATGTTTCAAAAAATATGTACTTTTGAGTTACTAATAATAGCATAAATAGACATCTACTCATTTTGTAATATTTTTCTTACTCTATTAAAAATAGACAATATATTGTATCCAATAATCATGCAAAATAAAAACTCAAAATTCATAATGTCAGAAGATAAATTTTTAGCATCTTTAAATGCTTTAATGTCATCACATGTTTCCACCAAGTGTTTCAAAGCGATTTTTATTTCTAAGCTCTTGAAATCAAATTCCTTTAGTACTTTCAACTTAATTTTTGAACATATTTGTGATAATGGCTTAAATCTCAGACCTTCCACATTATCCTGAAAAAATTAAATTGCTTTGCAAAAGATGATAACAATACATAGGGTGTGTTTGAGCCCCATTTTTGGAGAAAATAAGTTTTATAATAATAATTTTTTAGAGAATATGTGGTTAAAAAGTAGAGAGAAATTTGGGTTTAAGTCTAAAATTATTTTTTTGAAAAAATATATGATTGATAATGAATTTGAAGAAAAAAATGAGTTTTGGAGAATGAGATTCATATAGGAACTATATATGCATTGTACAATTCGAAAAGAGATTTAATTTTTATACAAGAATTTGTCATATCACAGATTGTAAGAATATTTTTTTTTTTGAGAAATTTTATTTATTATTTATAAATATAATATACTTAATAAAAAAATTTTGGGACAAGATGTGGCGTTTAGCAATTTCCTATCCCACCTGTAATCAAGGTTGGCACTAATTATCACCCCTTATATTGATTTCCTGGGCTCCGTTTGATTATCATTCTTCAACCACAAAAATAGAAAATATGATCGTTATCCATCACATCAAGTCATCATATTTGACTTCCTATCTGGTTCCATAACGATTATATTTTTCATTCTCATTCTTATCAAAATGAAAATCAAATGGTCAAATATCATTAAGCTGTTCACAGTAATCTGGATTAGGTTTTGAAAAATCAACAGGGCTGAATTTTCAATAATCAAGATTCAGATATAGGACCTCCGTCTTCTTGGAAAAGATTCAAGAGTTGAGTTGTGCGTTTTACGGTCGACTAAATGCACCATTAAGGATTCTTAAGCTTCTCAAAATTGAAAAAAGTGATATGAATACTAATATGTTTATATTCAGTTTGATTCATGTACTTTGTTCATTACTGAAAATATTGGCTTTGACCGACAATATCGTTACATCACAATCTCTAAATGATGGTGAAACACTGGTTTCAGAAGGGGGGAGTTTTGAACTGGGTTTTTTCAGTCCAGGTAATTCCAAGAAGCGGTACTTGGGAATTTGGTACAAGAACGTCCCAATAAGAACTGTTGTTTGGGTTGCAAATAGACAGAACCCTATAAAAGATTTGTCTGGCACCCTGATGATCAATATCACCAGTAGTCTTGTACTTTCAAGTGGGAACAATAGTGATGTTTGGTCAACAAAACCATCGAAGGGCGCTCAAGATCCAATATTACAGCTTTTAGATTCGGGAAATCTTGTCGTGAGAGATAACTTAGATGGACAAATGGATGTTTATCTGTGGCAGAGCTTTGATTATCCATCTGATACTTTGTTACCCGGTATGAAGCTCGGGTGGGACTTGCGAACTGGTCTTAATAGGAAATTATCCTCTTGGAAGAATTCTGATGATCCATCTCCTGGTTTACTAAGTGATAGGGTAGAACTTGCTGAATATCCTCAGGTGGTTTTGCGGAAGGGATCAGAAAAGTTCTGTCGAACTGGTTTATGGAATAGCCTGCAATTTAGCGGTTCTCCTGAATTAAGGCTCAACCCAGTATTTGAATTTAAGGTCGAGTTTAACCAGGAGGAGGTTTACTACATGTACCAGCTCAAGAACAAATCTGTAATCTCGAGGCTTGTTGTGAATGAAACCACATCTACAGGTCAACGATATACATGGGTGGAAGCAGATCAATCTTGGAAGCTTTATTATGAAATACCTCGAGACTACTGTGACAATTATGATCTATGTGGCGGAAATGGAATATGTTCCATCAATCATTTACCAGTTTGCAGATGTTTGAAAGGTTTCAAACCAAAGTCGGCCCAAAGCTGGAACTCAATGGACTGGTCACTTGGATGCATCCGCAATGAGACTCTAGACTGCCACAGGAAACATGATTTTATAAAATTTTCGGGCTTGAAACTGCCTGATACTCCAGATGCTTGGGTAAACACGAGTATAAGTCCTAAAGAATGCAGGGAGAACTGCTTGAAAAATTGTTCTTGTATTGCTTACGCAAACTCAGATATTAGCCAAGGAGTCAGAGGATGTATCCTTTGGTTTAACAATTTGGTGGATATTAGAGAGCTTTCGGATGGTGGGCAAGATCTTTATATAAGAATGCCAGCTTCAAACAGAGGTATGTCATTCATTCTTGGCTGCAGTAGCTTGGCAAAGTTTGTGTCAACTTGCATTTCTTGCTTGTTTTGCTGATTAAAAAAAATGCCCATTTTAACAGCCAACAGGTCTCCAGTGACTATAATAGTGGTGATTGTGGCTACCATTACTGGATTATGTGGAGTGCTTGTAAGTTACTATATTTGCAAGGGAAAGATGAAATCTGAAGGTAAACTTTTGAGATTCGCCAACCCTTTGAAATGCAATGCAGGATTTAGTTATAAAATAAATTAGAAGATAAATGGAAAATTTCTTTAATCATATTAAGATTGGGTTCTATCTTAAAGTGTCAACTTTGATAAGAGAAGTAGCACAAACCCTTATATATTTTTCGAGATGTTCACTCGTTTGAGTAAATCAATCTTGCTATCTATGCTCTTGATTGGCTTAATGGACCATGATACCATATTTGTACCAATCCCCAACTATATTATGTAAACAGCGGAAACTGGAGGACACAACACTGATGCAGGGCGAGAAGAAGATATGGATCTACCCTTATTTAACTTGGCTACAATATTTCTGGCCACTCAGAATTTTTCTGTAAACATGAAACTCGGCGAAGGAGGGTTTGGACCTGTCTACAAGGTTAGTTCAACATGATTCCTAGAGGAATACTAGCCTTTTATTGAACTTAGTAAATATTTAAGAGTAGAGAAGAAATTTAATTGTCTAGGAGACTCCCAATGTTTTCTAACAATTCATAACTTTCAGGGCACGCTAGAAGATGGGAAAAACATTGCTGTGAAGACACTGTCGAAGGATTCTGGACAAGGACTAAACGAGTTCACGAATGAAGTTAAACTGATAGCAAAACTACAACTCAGAAATCTTGTAAAGCTTCTTGGTTGTTGCATTGAAGACGAAGAAAAAATATTGATTTACGAATACATGCCCAATGGAAGTCTTGACTCGTTTATTTTTGGTTTGTATTCTGATAAGATTCTTCTGCAATTTACTTAATCTAATGCTAATTAATAATCTTTTAAAAAGATATTATATATCATTCATTCATTCATTCATTTTTTTTTTAAAATTAAGTTGGACAATAACTAACTTATTTATGAATTTCAGATCAAACCAGATTATATCAAATAGATTGGTCGAAGCGTTTCAATATCATATGTGGAGTTGCTCGAGGACTTCTCTACCTTCATCAAGATTCCAGGTTGAGAATCATACATAGAGATCTTAAAACGAGTAACGTGTTACTTGATGAAGAGTTGAACCCAAAAATCTCAGATTTTGGAATGGCAAGAATTTTTGAAGGCAATGAGAGTGGAGAAACTACAAAAAGAATTGTTGGGACATAGTATGTCCATACAGAATTTCATTTGCACAACTACAACTGCTATGCTTTTATTCTCATCTTTTGCAATTGTTCATTTGTGATGCTTGACAGTGGTTACATGGCCCCAGAATACGCTTATTACGGGTTGTTTTCAATAAAATCCGATGTCTTTAGCTTTGGCATTCTAATACTGGAGGTCATCAGTGGAAAGAAGAATCGTGGATTCAATCATCCACAAAATCAAAACCTTATTGGATATGTAAGTGCTAAAAGACTCTAATCTTAAATTTTTTCCCATGTTCAAACTGAGTTACATTTGTTTTTATTTCAGGCGTGGAGATTGTGGACAGAAGGCAGACCACTTGAACTGATCGATCCACTGCTGGAGGATTCAGCCAATCGACCTGAGATGTTAAGATGTATCCACATAGGTCTCTTGTGTGTGCAGCAATCTCCAGAAGATAGGCCAACAATGTCATCAGTGATTTTGATGTTAAATGGAGGGAGTCCATTGTCTCAGCCAAAACACCCTGGTTTTCTAATAGATATGATTCCAGGTGAAACACGTCCTCCATCAAGCAACGATGAACCAAGTTTGGTCAAATATTCTTCGATTACGGTGTTGGAGGCTCGGTGACATACTGGTTCAAAAGTAGAAAACCATGTTAGTCAAGCAACTTTTGCGTCCATTCAATGCTATTTGTTTTGAAACTTGAAGTGTCCCTTGACATGTTTGGTTTATTGTAACGTAAAGAAAAGTAGATTCAAATCTTATTCATTCTATTGTACATTATATGTTAGTCATTAGGTATATTGTAATATTGCAAAGAAAAGTAAATTCAAATCTTATTCATTCTATTGTACATAATTTTCTTTCAAATTTTTTTT